AAGAGGAAGAGAAAGAGAGGCATGTGTTGTAAATTGCACATGCTAATCTCAGGCAGCCAACTGTGAATAATCAATGTATTTCTAATTTGATGAACTCAATGAATTTTTTTTAGTTAACCAGATAAGGATGTGTTTCAAGATCTTCATTTTGCAAAGTGGAATTCAAATCCTTGTGCGACTAAATGAGTTAGGTAAAATATTTGTAAATCACCACTTCTAACTACATAAGCAGGTTGAACCATGCAAGAGGTAAACATATAACCTAAATAAGGAAAAGTTAAAGCAACCATTAACAATATAAATATTTAACTAAAATGCCACCCGAATAACTACTATTTCAGATTTGTCATATCGGAAAGAAAGAAAGAAATGTGTACTCGTGGATCAGGGGCGGACCCACTTGAGGCCAAGTGGGGTCGGCCGCCCCCACTAGATTTTCAAATTTTTTATTTTTCTTGAGGTTTTTCCAGGTTTTTTCCTATGATTTTTTGATTTCGCCTCCACTGAATTTTCATCTTGGGTCCGCCCCTGTTGTGGATGACCATAAGTTGGAAAGTATAAGAGATGCAAAGAAAAAAGGAAGAATGCTGAAGTCGACAGTACTTACTTTGTATATATTATGGCTTCTTTAATGGTTCTATCATAATCATCTGCATTTCGGAAGAAAAGTACTCTTAGTCATAGAATTAAAGAGATGCATTTCTACATGGCCAAATCCTCTAACAAAGAGTTTGCACCAATAACTTTGCTATATTCAGCTCTCCTTCATCCTTGTGAAAAAATTTAATCTTGTGTCTGGCAGAACTCTTCAATTTTAAAGCTTATATTATATCAAATTCGTTAATCTGAAACATCACTTGTCAAGCTCATTTAAAGTACGGTGAATTGAATACTACATGAGCAAGACCTAGTTCACAATTTATGACATGATAATGTGCCCTGGAGCAATACTCTGAGCACGTTAACATTCAGAACTTATTCTGATAATGCTGCTTTTGTGTTTACTAAATACCAGTATTAAATAATTCGATAGAAAGATATGGCAAATGGACTGTATATAAGCCCACTTTATACCCTCTTTTATAAGAACTGATGAAATGGAAAAATGATCATGCACAACTTGTCATGAAGACTTTAAGATAAGGGAATTATGAGATCCAAATTATGTGGACAAAGATACCGTGACATACCAAAACTATAATTAACAGGCCTGAGATTACGGCAAGACCGAGTTATTCCAGCAGTTCGAATACCATTCAGAAGTATCTGTTCTCTTTTCTGACGTTGCAGCGCCCTCTGTTTCTTCTGTCAAATGAGCAGCATACCCACACTTAGTGAAAACAAAAGAAATTGTGAAACTATAAATTGACTCCTTGAAAACCCCATGCTTAAAGTCACTATCAAGCAAAGTGGGAAAACAACAGCAAAAGAACTGTAAAGTGCTGACCTTCTGAAGTTTTTCAAGGATAGGAATGGCATTAGTTTCAACAGTCCTACTAACAACAGCTTCCCATTTAACTTCACTGGATGACAATTCATCCTATCATATATGGAAAAGGCAGAAACATAAATGGCATCCAGTCACAAGGAATGATACAGGGAAGAGTAAATGCTATCTTACCACAATCTTGTAGAACTCTTCAAGATTTGTTGCCAGGGTTTCCCACTGAGAGTTGATTGCTGGCACAGTATCCTTCACATTAACTCTTGGCTTGGATTCAAAAGTGAGAACTTCTTTGTATAGTCTATAGCCAATTGTTGCATTTCCATCATACCTGCAACCAAGAGAGCAGGAATTACACCAGAAATGAAGCTCACTGCAAAAATAGTGCACAGTACTTACCAGAATGCAGTTCCATGTTCATCTCCGGCAAGCTTATCTTTTCGAAAAGTAGAAACTTCAGTACCACTTTTTATAGCGTGGTTGATATATGACACAATATCATCTTGCTGTAAAAAAAAACAAACAGGTTCAGAAACATCAAAGAGAAATAAAATTCAATAGCTAGCTTTCGGAATTTTTTTCAGTTAAGTTCTTAACGAAATTAAGCCCCTATTTGGTTTAGATAAAAATTGGATCTTTAGTAATTTTTATAAAAGTTAATGGAATGTGTGATTGAAAAGTTGTGAGTCTCGTGACATGTGTGGTTATAATTAATTCTTGAGTTTGACTTTAAGCCTGTTTGGGAGCGATTTTTCCCCCAAAAAATTGATTTTTTTGACCGTTATCTCACTATTCCAGCCTTACTTTTTGACTTCTTTACGCACAGGTAATCCCCACTTGTCTCTTAACAGTCAAAAAATCAATTCTCAAAATCAATACCGAACAGGCCCTTAGTTTTAGTCTAAATTTTAAGCTGAACGAAAACAGGGGCTAAAACTACTCCAAATGCAGTTCACAAAGTTCCCATCATATATAAAATAGCAGTAACATCATAAGAAAAGGGACGTTTGGAAGCTATACATCAGCTCGAACTTCACAAAGTGCTTTAAGAATAAATAGACGAACTGTTGGATCAAGTTCTTTGTATATAGATATCTCCTCTCTGAAATGTAATGGCAGCAACAAAACAATAGTTGATCAGTTACAGTATACATGACATCAGTAATTATAAGATGAACAGACGCCATACCCTTTGGCTCCATTTAAAGGAAAATCTCCCTCAGCAACCTGCGACAAAATGAAAGACATGTGCAATAGCATCTTTTAATTCACAAGGGAAATTCTTAGCAATTAAAAGCTTGACCTACCCATGGCCACCACATCATAAGTTTCTTACTAAGAACAATCACCCAAGCATCAGAACTGTCCAGTGTTTTGCTCACCGGATGTATTCCCTGAAACAATTAAGTCACGTCTTCAGACTGATAAGAATAACAAGGAAAACACATAATAAAACAACAAAAGATAATAAGACAAACATAGAGTCAAATATAGGCGGCAATTTATCAATCAAGTCTTATAATCTGGAAGAAAAAAATGTATACAATATTTATTCAATTTCAGGAAAAGTTCTCCAATCTTTCAAAACATGGCCCAGTCATTTGTTAAGAGTAATTGCAATAGTAAACTTCTAAAAACAAATTAGCACCAATTCCATAAAATAGGTAATCAACCTACCTTTTATAAAAAATAAAATTATTTTCAATTAGGTCAATTGAACATTTCTTAATAAATGTTTTTTTTTTCCCGAACTGCCAAATATTCACATTCAAACATGACATAAAGATAACGCTAAAAGAACAGATCATTGACAATTCATTATTACTTAATTCTGAAAAAATTAAAAATCAGAAAGATAAAGAAAATGAAATAAATTGGGAGTTCATGAGTAACAAAAGAAAAAAAAGTGAAAATGAAACCTTCAAAAGGGCTTTGTGAAGCTGACCAAGCAACTTGTTCTGCTCAATCAGCGCATGTTCTATCTCTTCAGCAGATACTTTTATATTGCTCTGCATCACTGGCTCGAAAACCTATAATTACATATCAAAGAACCTCAAACATTCACACCTAGACAAAAGGATTAATATAATTACTTAAGATTCACAGAACAGAGGCATCCGTCCAGTAAACTTGTATATAACTGCATACATGTCTGCAAAATTTCATGAATGAAAATTCTATTTTCCCTTGACATAACGAGGCATAACGAAGGAGCCTAATGTACAATGCGGTTATAGATTCTTTCAATTTCTGTTTCCTAATCTGGCCATGGATATTTATGCTACTATAACTTGTGCATCAAACTGGCAAGATAAAAGCTTTTAAGATGGGCCGGGCAAAACACTCCCTTTCCTACCACAGGCTCGCATAGAATACTGAAGAAATTTCTTCGTTTAACGGTTTATGCCAAAAATTTTAACCTTTCTCCAATCAGTTTTTCCCAAAGATGGAAAAATAAATTCATGCATGCCCAAGCACAGATTAGAATTACACGTAAACTGCAAAATAATTAAGAATGAAAACAAACGCATTTGAGGAAATTCCAGAAAATATATGAAAAGGACGGATATTACGTTGAGAAAATTGAGAACTGAAGCCAATTCCCCGTGCTGACGAAGCTTTTGCCGTGCTAGCTCGACTTCCACCGCCGTGGGCGACGACTCTGAGATGACTATTACGTCGTCGCTTTGCACATTTCCGCCGGTCATGGTATTTAGAGAGAGAAATTTTAGAGCGAAGAAATGACGTGAAGAAGAAAATTATTAACAAATGAGATTTAAGGGGGGAACTCAAGGGTTAAATGTGAATTTTTTTCCTTTTCCCGCCTAATTCACAGGGATTTTAATTTGGAGGAAATTTCAACAAATTTCCTTTTTTTTTTACCTAGTCATTTGTAAAAATGTTCAATTTAAAAAAATTTAGACCAAAATACCTTTATTAACAATTTTTAATTCCACACTAATACAAAAAAATGGACATTTTTGTAAAATTGTTATTGGCGAATAAAATTTTGACACATAACCTGCCATATTTATTTCAAAAGTATACATGTCAAATCACAATAAATGCTATATTTTTCGTTGATTCAGAAATGTCGAGAACGACATTTTCCAATGTAAAGAATTGTCATGTTCAAAATAAAATGTCATTCTAGACAAATGAAACGATGTTCAAATGTCGAGAATGTCTCCGTGACACAAACGTGATTTTTTCATTTTTTTTAATGAAACGGTATTCAAATGTCGAGAATGTCTCCGTGACACGGAGACGTGATTTTTTCGTTTTTTTTAATGAAACAATGTTCAAAAGTCGATAATGATATATGTAATATCGAGAATGTCTCCGTGACACGGAGGCACTTGCCTCCATGTCACGGAGACGTGATTTTTTATTTTTTTTAAAGTATCATATTTTTTGTTTTCACGTTATTTTTTTAAAGTATTATATATATATATATATATATATATATATATATATATTTTGTCGTTCGAATTTATTTTAATGTAACTTCTCATGGAAGTCACTTCTCAAAATTCATGACAAATTGATAAAAAATCAAATGTCGAGAATACCATTGCAAAATGTAGCTTTTCATTAAGGGTATAATAGACAAATTGACACTAAATTCAAATGAGTGAACACTTTTCAACTTATACCCTTAAAATTGGACATTCTTGAAAATGCCTCTTTAATTTGAAGGTTAATCAGCGCATTCTTACTCCTTCGTGTTATTATGCAAAAAGTCTTTCACTTTTTATTTTTTGACACTTTTACTTTTACTTTTATCTTTTATTACAAAAATCATCATTTTCATCAAATTTCTCTAGTAAAATAAAAAATATATCCCTTATTTAAAAAAAAATCATAAAAAAGAAAAGAGAAGTCAAAGTATAATTGCAATTATACTTCCAAACTTTTTTAAAAAGTGTAAATGAATTCAAATATATTATTAAAAGAGTTATTAGCACAAAACATCCATACCTTTCATTATTATTGTGTAAAATGCTCGTACCTTTCATTATTATTGTGTAAAATGTCCTTATCTTTCATTTTTGACATTTTCACCCTTATTTTATATTTCATTGAAAAAAATCATTATTTTCATCCATTTTCTCAATTAAAACAGGAAAATGACAAATATACACTCCTCTTTAAATAAAGAAAAATAAAGAAAAGAAAATTAAAAAAAAAAACAAATTGCAACTATATTTCCAAAAATTTCGAAGAAGTACGAATAAATATTTAAAAAATAAATAATTAAAAAAGAAAGTGATTTTTTAATTATTTATTCGAAATTTATTTGTATTTTTTTGAAAAATTTGAGAGCATAATTGTAATTTGTTCCTTATCTTTCTTTTCTTTATTTTTGTTTAGAGAGGAGAGAATATTTGTTATTTTACATTTTTTAATTGAGAAAATGGATAAAATAATAATTTTTGCAATTAAATATAAAAATAAAGGTAAAAATGTCAAAAAATGAAAAGTAGAGACGTTTTGCATAATAATAATGAATGATATAAACGTTTTGTGCTAATTACCTTTTTAATAATTTATTTGGACTCATTTGTATATTTTTAAAAGTTTGGGAGTATGATTGCAATTTATTATTTAACTTTTTTTTTCTTTTTTCTAAGTTTATTTAAATGGAAGATATATTTGTCATTTTACATGAAAAATTTGATAAAAATGATTATTTTCACAATAAAATATAAAAGTAAGGGGTAAAAATGTCAAAAAATGAAAGGTATGAATGTTTTGCATAAAGGTAATGACGTTTTGTGCTAATTACCCTTAATTTGAAATGTTCACTATTCGTTTGAAAATAACATACTGTTCCGTAGTGATTATGAGAATTGATTTTTTGACCGTTGGAGAAAAAATCGAGTCCCACCTATAAGTGAAGAAGTTAAAAATGACTATTGAAATAGTAAAATAATGATCAAAAAATTGATTTTTTGAGTGAAAAATTGCTACCAAACGTGGGCTAAACATTTGTTTGACCAATTAAAATTTTAGCTCCCGTTTGGCCCCCATTTTCTGAAAATGAAAATGAGTAAATTAATGTTTTTTTCTTTTTAAATGAGTAGTTGAAAAAGAAAAAAAATTCGATTTGAGTGTAATATTATTTTATGGAAGATTGTGTGGTTGAAGTTATAAAAGAGAAAAATGTAATGGAATTTAATGGGGGCCAAAGGAGGGCTTAAGACATTTTTCTGACTTATTTTCAACTACACAGTCTCTAATAAAATAATATTATACATAAATTTAAAAAAATTATTCTTTTTCAACCACACATTTATCCAAAAATTATTATTTTATAATATATTTTACCTAAATGTTTTATTATAATAGGGTCAGACTAAATAAATAAATAGTGGGTAATCAGCACAAAACGTTCATATCTTTCAATGTTATTGTGCAAAATGTCTTTACCTTTTATTTTTTGACATCTTCACCTTTATTTTCACATTTTATTGTGGAAAATGTCATTTTCTCAATAAAAAATATGAAATATCGAATATACCCTCCCATTTAAATAAAGCCATAAAAAAAGAAAAATTAAAAAACAAATTGCAATTATACTCCCAGACTTTTTGAAAAACTGCTAATGAGTCCAAATAAATTATTAAAATAGTAATTAGCACAAAATATTTCTAATTTTTCTATATTATTGTGCAAAATATCCATGCCTTTAATGTTTTTAGCATTTTTTTCACCCTTATTTTCTCATTGCATTGCGAAAATCATCATTTTTATCAATTTTCTCAATTAAAAAGCTATAAAATGACAAATATACCATCATATTTTAATTAAAATAAATAAATTGCAACTATACTCCCATAATTTTCAAAAAAAGTACAAATAAAGTTATTTATTTAGAATTTATTTGTAATTTCTTGAAAATTTTGAGAACAAAGTTTCAAATTGTTTTTTATTTTTGTTTTATTTAAATAAGAGGGTGTATTCATCATTTTATATCTTTTAATTGAGAAAATTGAAGCAAATAACGATTTTCATAGTAAAATGTGAAAATAAAAGTGAAAATGTCAAAAAATAAAAGTTAGAGACGTTTTGTACAATAATATTGAAAGGTCTGAACGTTTTGTACTAATTATCATTTTAATAATTTATTTGATCGTTTGTAGTTTTTTAAAAATTTGGGAGTATATTGCAATTCGTTATTTAAATTTTTTTTCTTTTTGTTTTATTTAAACAGGATGGTATATTTGTCATTTTACATTTTTAATAAGAAAATGACCTTTTTCTATAATGAAATGCGAAAATAGAGAAGAAAATGCCCAAAAATGAAAGATAGGTACATTTTGTACAATAACATTGAAAGATAAAGACGTTTTATTTTGATTACCCAATAAATAATTTATTTGCTTATCGTATGAATGAGTTAAGAGCCTATTTGAACCACATATTTATTGAGGAATGCATTTTGAAATGGTAATGTTATAAAGAATGTGTAGTTAAAAAATAAAGAACGGTTGAATTTGTGTATAATATTTTTTTATTGAAGCGTGTGGGTTGAAAAAAAAAAGAAAAATATATTTTGAAAATAATGGAGATCAAACAAAGGCTAAGTTACTCATTTTGACATTAAGTCCTTGTTTGGCGTAGATTAAAAATTTCAAGTCAACAATTAGTTTTAACTACTAGTTCATAAAACTCACAATTTTCAACCATGTATTTTATCAATTTTATCAAAATCTAACCATTTCTTAGCTACTTTCTTTAAAACTTATTTTTTCTTAAATTCCCGTTTCAATCATACATTTTTCTAATAAAATAATTTTACGAGTAAATTCAATTTTTATTTTTTTATTTCTCAACTACATATTCTGGAAAAAAATTATTGTTTACAAAATTTATTCTCAAAAAATATAACTCAAATGAGGTAATTGTTATTTTTAAAAATAAGCCCTTGTTTGGCTATTGCTTATAAATTATTTATAATTGATCAAATTAATTTTTTATTAATATATTTTATTTTTGCAAATCGGTATATTTATCGAAAATACTTTTTAATTAGTGTCCGTATAAAATGTTGGAACACAAATTGTGGTTTGCAATATATTTAGTGTGTATTTGAGCTACATTATTTTTTAAAAATGAATTTTGGAATAGTTGATTGATGGAAAATGTGTGGTTCAAAAAATAGGAAAACATTGTGGATTTGCGAGTAATATTATTTTATTGAAAAATATGTGATTGAAATGATGTCAAATCACTGTTTAATGATATATTTTTTCAAAAATAATATTGCTCAAACAGGGCCTTAACTTCATTATGCCTTAGGCTTCATTTTTCTTTTTCTTTATTTGTTTTCAACCACGTATTAAAATAAAATTACAAATCAATAAAAAAAAATTCTTATTTTTCAAACAACACATTATCCAAAATATAATAATTATTACAATTCAAAAATGCATTTTTGATGGAGCCCAAACAAAGGCTATATTCTTCATATAATTTGAAATCAAATATTAGTTTTAATCACGCATTTATAATTATATTATTTACTCATTCTGTAGGATTCATAACTTATGTTCATTATAATCTCATAGTAATAAACCCAAACAAAATGAATACATGTGGCTTTCCATTTTTATCGTTATTAACTTGCATATAAAATTCTTCATTTGATTCTCTTCTAACTTGAATTTTAATTTTGAATTTTTTCACATAATCAAGACATCACTTCATATCTCGACCAATGTCGACAATTATATTTCTAGGTATCTGGAGTTCAATTAATTTTTAATACGATTCTATCCTAGACATCATCTACGTAATTTATTTTTAATTTAAAATGAGTGTATGTTGGGTTCATGTACAATTTTTTTAATAGGTATAAATTTGTATTGATCAAAATTATTTACATCTATTCCAAGCGTACCCGGGCATTCAAAGTAAAACATTATAAAGATCCAATGATCTAGTAATCCAAACCAAGTGACAAAATTTAAATCAAAACATTACAAACTTGGCTAATCTAGAACCCAAAGTACCAAACTATTGACAAAATCAAATCCTCTTGGACAACAATCTGAAGTGGCCACCTTATTAGAGATCGTGCCACAAATCAAGAAACAGATTACAACAAAAATAATTAGGTGAGATTCAAGGGTATAACAGCCAATCAATCACAAGAATCAAGCCCCGCATCAGTCACCAATCTCACGGCCACAATTCTAGCTAGCTTCTCTAGAACAATATTCTCTTCCTAAAATAGTTTTTCAATCTTTGTATATATAGAGCATATGATTTTTCTGCAAAAAATTCAATGCTATATTGTAATTCATTTATCGATATACATTTAAAATTAAAGTTCCATCATGATATCAGGAGCAGTCCCCTCCAACGAGAATTCGATCCTCACTTCCCACACTCCAATCTCAACACCACCATCCCCAATCGAAACCCCCCTAATTGCCCTAAACATCTGTGCTCAACTAAATGACAAGCTCACCCCTTCCACTTTTCCTTAGTAGCATTCACAGTTGAGGCCCTTCTAATCGAATATAATCTTCTAGATTATGTCACTAGTGATCACCCCTATCCTGTACCCAATGCCAATCCTGAATCATCTCTTCAAAAAGCCCACTAGGTCAGACAGGATAAACCGATCCTTAGTGCCATCCTAGCTTCTACCACCACCATAATCACCTCATTTATCTCGGCCGCCAAAACTTCAAAGGAAGCATGGCAAAAGTTACACAATATGTACGAAAGTAAGTCTTGCACCAGAGCTATGCAACTCAAAGAAGAACTCACTTTGATTAAGAAAGACACAACAAAAGCATTCAAGAATACCTTCATATGGTAAAGTCACTTATAGACAAAATTGCCCTAATTGATAATCCAATCTCTAATGATGATCTCACTCTCTACATTCTCCATGACTTGGGGTCCGATTACCGTGAGATTGGTTACTGATGCAAGGTTTGATTCTTGTGATTGGCGGACTGTTACACCCTTGAATCTCACATAATTATTTTTGTTGTGATTTATTGCTTGATTGGTGGCATGATCTCCGATACTATGATGAAACTTTAATCTTGACTGTATATTGATAAAATGAATTACAATACAGCAATATTTTTTTTTACAGAAGAATCATATGCTCTATATATACAAAGATTGTAAAACTATTCTAGGAAGACAATATTGTTCTAGGGAAGATAGCTAGAATTGTGGTTGTGAGATTGATACAGGTCTTGATTCTTGTGATTGACTGGTTGTTACACCCTTAAATCTCGTCTAATTATTTTTGCTATAATCCGTTGCTTGATTTGTGGCATGATTTCTAATACATCCCCGCAAGATAGGGCTGCCATCCGCAAGTCCAGTCTTTTTTTGGTCTGACCACAAGTCCAATCTTGGTTATTAGTTAGTTGGTTCGTTGCCTTGACAATGGCTTTGTGAGAAGATTTGCAAGCTGATCTTGGGTATTTATATTATGAACTTTCAGCATACATTTTTGAACTATATCTCTAACAAAATGCAGGTCTACTTGAATATACTTTATCTGGGATTGTCGAACAGGGTTAAGGCTGAGTTGTGTTGCATCGAAGTTATCACAAAGCAATTTTGGTGGGGAAGAAATGTTTAAGCCAAGGTCCTAAAACAGCGACAATAACCAAATGGTTTCTGATGCTGCAGTTGCAAGAGCTCTATACTCCGCTTTAGTACATGATCTTGCAATGGCCCATTGTTTTTTTTGAGCTCCACGAGATCGATTTTTGACCAAGAAAGCAGATGTAGAACTTTTATCATCATAGTTTCCCATTTGCAACCCACTGGTTAGCAGTGAGGTGGTGGGAGAACTAATTCCCATATGCTGTGTCTCATTAGAGCTGTGAGCTTACCAGACATGGCACTTCTCTATTTAGGATCACAGAAGGCGTGACTCACACAACTTGGTTCAATGGTAGGTAGAATTGGGTGTTTGGTAATTGAGTGGCCCAGAAACTATGATGATAAAAGTTCCACATCTGTCTACATATGCTTTCTCAGTCAAAATTTGATCTCTTGGAGCTAAAAAAAGAAAAAAACAAGGGACCATTGCAAGATCATCTACTGAAGCGGAGTATAAAGCTCTTGTAACTGCAGCATCAGAAACCATTTGGTTATTGTCGCTGTTTTAGAAACTCGGCTTAAACATTTCTTCCCCACCAAAATTGCTTTGTGACAACTTGGGTGCAACACAACTCAGCCTTAACCCTGTTCAACATTCCCGAATGAAGTATATTCAAATAGACCTGCATTTTGTTAGAGATATAGTTCAAAAAGGTATGTTGAAAGTTCATCATGTAAATATCCAAGATTAGCTTACACATCTTCTCACAAAGTTGTCAAGGCAACAAACGGACCAACTAAGAACCCAGATTGGACTTGCAGATGGCAGCCCTATCTCATGGGGGCGTATTAGAGATCATGCCATAAATTAAGCAACAGATCAAAACAAAAATAATTAGGCGAGATTCAAAGGTGTAACAGCCAGTCAATCACAAGAATAAGCCCTAAATTAGTTACCAATCTCACGACCACAATTCTAGCTAGCTTTCCTAGAACAATATTGTCTTCTTAATATAGTGTTGCAATCTTTGTATATATAGAGCATATGATTCTTCTGTTAAAAAAATCATTGTTGTATTGTAATTCATTTTATCAATATACAGTCAAGATTAAAGTTCCATCACACTTGACTTTCAACAAGCAGGCAGCCGGAATATAATGCATCCAAGTGGACGAAACAGCTACCTTGAAGACCTTTGACTGGAATTCAAGGCAGGTTGCATTAAAAACCATGATAGCTGGACAAAATAGGCCTCATTTGCTGTTACCATAATTCAAGCAGTTGGACAACCAAGCTGCTTGAAAACCTTAATTAATCTAGCAAATCTTTAATGGTTGACAAATTCAGCCATTAAACTGAAAACCTAAGCAACTGGATGGTAAGCTGCTAGCTAACAGAATTAATAGCCGAAATGATCACTGAACTTTAAAAATCACTTAAGTTATCATTGAATTTTACAAAAAGTTTTCACAGGCTAACTGAACTTTGTAAAAGGTTTCCACAGGGTCACTAAACTTTGCAAAATGTTTCCACGGCGTCACTAAACTTTAAAAATTATCTCATTTATCACTGAACTCTGCAAAAACTTTCCCAAGTGACTCCTAGGAAAGTTTTTGCAATATTTAGTGACCCCATAGAAGTCTTTTGACAAGTTTAGTAATGAATTGAGTGATTTTTGAAGTTTAATGACTCTATGTAAATCTTTTGCAAAGTTCAGTGATGACTTGGGTGATTTTTAAAGTTCAGTGACCCAGTAAATTTTTTTTACAAAATTCAGTGACCATTTGGATTATTAACCCTTAACTAACAAGATGAATTCAATATTTTGGTTGCATGTGGGACTAAATCACAGCCTAATCAAGCTAGAGTTTAAATTTGGCTAAAAAAAGTTCAAAAAAGTTTGAATTTTGAATTTTATGCCAAAACAGGAAAATATATTACTGCAAAAGCAATCAACAATGAAAAATACTGCAAGTAGTTTGTTTGGGAAATATTTTGAATTTTGGCCAGCCAAGTACAAACATTTGAAAAAAGATTTTCCACTTTGGGAAACCAAATATTGCACAAAGCAGATAACATTGTTGAAAAAATATGCTACACAAACATGTTCAAAAACAGGGTACACACATGTCAACACATGATTGGACTATTTGAAAAATAAAAACAACAAACACCAAATCATCTGCCGCTAAATCAGTCTGTTTTTTCTTCCCTGTCTTTAAGCCTGGACAAACATCATATTCCTTGCGGAAATACTGCGTGATCTATTTGACTAATTCAAATTATCAAAAGAAATTTGACTAAATTGTCCAAACAAGTAATACACGGCTTGGCCAAAACTTGGGAAATCAAAATAAGATTAAAATCTGCACGATATCAAAATGCCAAGAACACCATGAATTTTGAAAAGCAATACCAACAATATGCTGGCTGGATGAACAACCAAAACATTGCCAACGAACGAAGAGAGTCCAATAAGCAGGTAGCTGGATGGTGAAGTGAGTACCTACCTCGAACGAGTTGCAGTGGCAGCTGATCTGTAAGGAGTCTAAACTAGCTGCCAGCCAAAATCAACCAAAATTGAAATTGTCCCTTTCTTTTGAACAAACTGGCCAAACTGAAGTGCTACTTGAGCTTTAACAAAGCATGCAACTTTGAAATTACACTGATAATAATACCCGATCCCGTGGACGGTCTTCAATACTTCTAAGAATTTTTAAAGAAAGAGAAGCTCCAAGAAACTACTCTTATCGAGTCTTCTAATGAGACAAAGAAAACTTGAACATCTAAATAGAAGGATGAGCAAAGCTCTGATTTTTCTGGACGAATGATGTATGAATCTGACCAAAGTAAAAGTTTCAAAACACCCAAGAAAACCTGTCATTTTGGCGAAATTGAGGCTCCAAGAACTTGAAATCCACAAAACTAAAAAATATATGAATCTGAATAGATTTTAATAAAATCTGCAGTTCTAAATTCAAAAATGCCAAGGAAAGTAAATTCCGACAAAGAAGAATGAGCCCACAATGCATGAGGAAACTCTAGTGAGTGTTTCTCTTGCTAGAGTTTGAGAGCATCTCTATCTAAGCTTCTACATTGTAACTCATTTATGTACATTTTACAGGCATACATAATTTATTAATTTCTTAAGATATATTTGTAGGATCCTTTATTGTGCACCCGTCAATTTACAAGAGAGGTAAAATAATTTTGGATGAAAACTTTGTCGTGTCATATAATGTGCAAAGCATGTTTGAAAAATCAGTAGGTAAAAGTTATTGCTAACATCTGATCCTAGACATGTTTAGATAAGTTATTTTCTTACTTTAGGGAAAAAAAAAATTATTTTGAAGTAATTCATATGTAATTGTACAAAATAGAACGTAAATAAATTTCTCATCTACTAATAAGTAAACCTGTCAAGCTTAGCTAAATATACTATGGGCTGTGGCAGAGTCAGAGTCAAAAAAATTTATTACGAGGACAAAGAGCCGTTAAGGACTTTTTACAGAACTTTGACCACCAAAACATTCATTACCATCAAAAAGCTCATTCTCGTTGACACTTGATAGATGTTGGAGACTAAAACTTCTCGTGTATAGTTTGAGGATGTGTTCACCATCAATGCTATAAGTGAAAGACAATTGTGCAAATTTTCTAAAGAAAATGCAAAACTGGAGGTGATATCCAGCAAAGAGGGTTGGGCTGGACAAAACTCTCAAATTGAACCGATCGAATCGGATTAGTCTTGAACTGAACCGAATGAGTAGTTCTTCTTAAGTTAAATACCTGAACGGGTGTTTGAATCGAGAATTGACGGGCTTCGAACTAAAGAACCGAATCACCCTACTTTTTTTAATTTATTTATTTTAAATAAGGCAAATTCTTTTATTTTTTCTAAATAAATTTGCTAACTAATTAATTTAACTCAAACTTAAAATATGATTTTTCTATTTCTAATTTTTAATCCAATTCCAACTTAATCAAATTGACTTAAATTTTATTGAAATCTGTTATTCTATAATAGTGTTGTTTTTACTGTTCTGGAGATATCGAATTGAAGCTTGATAACATTTCTCTTAATTATTGTGAACTCGCTATCTTTCTCTTCCTGTGATTTTAACAATCAAATCTATGAAAAACTCAATAAAGAGAAATGCAAAGGACAAATAAGATTGAATTATATTATTTTGTAAGAACTAAAATTGAATATTTAATTAGTTGAATTAATGTAGTTTTGTAAATTTTAAAAAATTTAATTATAGTACGTCACCCGAAAATCGAATGAAACCAAACCGAACCCGAATGATTTCATAATTAAATTTGGAGCCAATAGTTCCACTTATTAAATACCCGAAAATTTCGTGTCAGATTCGATTCTCAAACCGAATCATGTCCAGCCCCAAAAGAGGGTTACAGACAAAAGGATTGCAGCTGCCAATATTGGTGAAAAAAATGGAAAGAAAATTTTAAGGTCAAAGGAAAATTTCAACGTGCTAGCCAGCCTTTCCTATGCAGTCCAGTATCCCACACTATATTTTTCGAGCATTCAATTGATTAAGCATTTTATTTGAACAATATAGACCCAAAATTGATGGGTTTTCTAGAGAAGATAAACAGTGTCGGCCTTGAGAATTTAGAGGTCCTAGGCGATTAATTATTACGAGGCTCTTCAACATAATATTTTATTCTACAAGTGTAATACTATTTAAATATTTAAATAATTAACACGTTTATATTTAAAAGAAGACTTTATACAATTCAAAAGATAAAGTAGCAAAATAAAACTTCTCACGCAACCCAAGAGATTTGCCTTCTAAATTTTGAAAAATTACCATTCCAATTAGTGGCAACTAATGTGAACTTCATCTTCAAGTGTCAAACTGTAAAAATCTCATTGTGAAAAGTAAAAAGAGATCTTAAGTAAAATCTAGTAATTCACCTCCATTTCGTCCTTCTCAACATGCACCTATAACCTATTTATACGATTTAGACTACCTAAGGCACCAAGACCCATTAGCCAGAACTCACAAACTTGATCTAGACTGTGTTACGTGCCTCTTGTAAAGCGATTATTGAAGAGATAACAGTTGAATCAAAATAAATCAAAAAACAACATCCTAGAAGATCATTAAGAAATATAAATATTAAATAACAATATAAAATTGGAAAATCCTCATACAAATCCTGAAATCCACCCCACTACATTGTCACCGGAAGTCTGGATTTTGGAAATACCAATTACCGACTACAAAAGCAAAAGAAATTGACAAATTGAAAGTCACCAGCCAGCCTAACAACTTTATATGTATATATAGCTATTCAATTTTCCATGTTGGCACAACATCCCGTAAAATTCAGGTTTGATCATTCAATGGGAGGGCCTACAATTCTGTTCAGATCAAATGTATTTATATATATGAAAAAAAAAATTATATTTCTAATAAATAAATTAAAATCAGTGACTACTTAAATAATGGAATTTGGCCAACAAAACCAGTCATCTTCAAACAAGTGGCCGCCCCTTCTTCTTTATTTTTCTTAAGAAAAAATAAATAAATTGTGGGTTTGTTACCTCAATGCAACACTTCAACAGCCAACAGGAAGATGAAGAGGAAGTACTCAGTTGGTCGGATAATCAGATTTCTTGCCGGAGCTTTTGCTGGTAGTCTTCAGGGATTGTCCAATGATCAATTGGTAGTAAAGATTGTATTTAAGCTTCTCTCTCATTCTCATGTTTTGAACAGCCATTCCTCTGCCCCTTTTCTCTCCTTTTTTTTTTAAAGAGATTTTGAGGGTTTTGTATTGATATGGGTTTTGGGCCACTCTTTTTTAAGAGGCTCCCTTAAAATCGGGGCATAAGACAGTGGCCTTGCTTGTCTTGGGCCAGGGCCGGCCCTGCATGGATAAAAATAGAAAAACTGAACATACATCATTCTTATAGTCGAACTGTAACAAAATGACCAGAATGAAAATCAAGAAGAAGTTAATCAAAAAGCATTCTCGTTCTTTCATTTTATACTTAACACCGACTGTGTCTCAGCCTCTCATTCGATGAATTCATAAAAGTTATCTACTTTTAATAATACAGTTCATGAGATCCAAAAATTATAATCTCAAAAAGTTAGACCAACTAGGAGTTAATTAGATTTTTATTTAATATTTGATTATACTCAAAACTAAGTGAAAATTACTTTTACGTAACTCCTTTTTTACAAATTTAAATAAGTCATTTTTTTTAATTTTAAGTAAAATGTTAATAAATTTTAAAAACGACTCTTACTTTATTCACACAGTAAGTAACTGATTTTTAACATATTTCAATTTTTTGTTAAAAAAACTTATTTATATATAAATAAGGTTTTTAGCCATAGCCAAAGCATGAACTTAAAAAGTTCACTTACAACTAACTTTACTAGAACTAAATAAGAAGTTTAAAAATAAATATTTTTTATTAACTAGGGTTGAAATAATTAAGTTACTTATTTTAACAATAAAACAAGAATACTGCCAAAAATAATAAAAGATTAAAAAAAAGTAATTAAGAAATTTTGCTCTATAAGGTTTGTCATAAAGATAAGGAAAAATTGCGGCCGAGGTACCAAACTTTTCGTTTATTAGCAAACTTTGTCCAAATCTTTAGTTTGTACCACCCACGATACCAAACCTTTTAAAAACTCGCAGTGGAAGTCCAAATGGATGGAAACTGTTAATTTGACCGTTAGTTGACCAAAGATTTAACATTGACCATTATCTTGACTAATTTTAAAAGGATAAAATGATAACTTTACATTTTTCAAAAAAAATAATTACAATATATTAATAATTAAATCAAAACACAAAACACTATTCATCTTCTTCTCCATTTGTTGACAGACTTTTCTCTCATAAAAGCCACAAGTAGTCGATCAAACAAGCTCCTTAGCCTTTCCTCACATGCATCAAACCTACATTCCTCAATTGGAAAATCGAGATCAAAACCAAATCCAACTTTCCCCTTAGACATATAATCAGCAGAAATTGTGGAAGAATTTTTGGTTTTTGCTTTCGCACTCAACCATCATTCTTGCGCACAATCAAGCTCTCACAATGTATGTTTTGGTGGGTGTCGATTTTGGTGGGATTTGGTTTTGTGGAATGGAGAAGAAGATGAATAGTATTTTTGTGTTTTGATTTAATTATTAATATATTGTAATTATTCTTTTTTGTTGAAAAATATAAAGTTACCATTTTATCCTCTTAAAATTAGTCAAAATAATGGTCAATGTTAAATCTTTGGTCAACTAACGGTCAAATTAACAGTTTCCATCCATTTGGACTTCCACTGCGAGTTTTTGAAAGGTTTGGTATCGTGGGTGGAACAAACTAAATATTTAGGCAAAGTCTATTAATAAACGAAAGGTTTGGTACCTCGGCTGCAATTTTTCCTAAAGATAAAACGCCTCATCTCGGACTAAGCAGGTGTAAAACGCCTCGTCTCACGTTTTTTATTTTATTCGCTCCTAGGTGCGACTATGCGAACTTTTTTTACACTTTTTTAATTTTAATTATTAAATGGTTTTTAGATTGATCTAAAAATTTAAAATAATATTAAAATAAGAAAAAATTATTTTACGCCTATACCTCGTCTAGCCCGAAGTTTGACTTTCACACTTCGTCACGCTTTTTTAGAACACCATATTTAATAACAATTTAGATTAAATTATAGGTTTGATTAAATACAAGAATTTATTACTCATTTATTAAAATTTATGATATACAAACACTTAATTTGCTGCTCTAGTATCAATGGTATTAGATAACATTATTCATCACAATTTGATTAAAATTCTATTAACGTGGACTACTTTTGAAAACAGCTTAGCCACGCCAGAAAGCAAAATATTCAATTTTTTTTTCACGTGATCTGCACGTGACCTCGATCGAATGTTTTGATTTGGTACCACACTAAGGTTAGGGAAAAATAATAAAACTGAGTTAGAATGATAATCCTACATAAGTTTGCATCTGTGGATGATTGTACTATTTATAAATAAAATTGTTCGTAATTTTTCTGAACGAAGACAAAATTGAGAATAGAAAGTAAGATTGATCGTTTAACTTCTTGTCTACAATTTGACGAGGATCGGACTATACAATAATTAAAAGATTTCAAGTCTATGAAGCTCTATGCTACACTCAGCCCCTGTTTGAGCCTCATTACATTAAATCCCATTACATTTCATTTTTTTTTCTCTTATTTTCAACCACACAATCTTCCATAAAATAATATTACACGTAAATCGAAAACTTTTCATTCTTTTTCAACCACTCATTTTTCAAAAAAATATTATTTCACCCATTAATTTTTCCACGTAATGGGGGCCAAACAGGGGCTCACTATAACAACCAAATTAAATGGCAGAATATAATAGATAAAAATATAATTTTTTTCTTTTTTATTGAAGTTTTTAATAATTGATAAGCAAGATATAACATAATATTGTTCTTAACAAATCAAGAGTTTGATGAATTAATGCATATGGATTCGTTAAAAATCTGGTGTTGATCTGGTTTTGGACTAATTGTTCAGACTAGTTTGATCTCATAAATGTGTGTGACATTTTCTTAGATATTATTGCCTAACGGAATTTTCTCACGACCACATCCTGACATATACTGTAGGCCTCTTCTAATCTTATATAGTGAAACAAATGATCTATTAAGTGCTAAGTACCTATGAATAATAAATTTAGGTCCCGTTTGAATCCCATTATTTGGAAAAATATATATTTTAAACAGTATTTTGATATCATTTCGATAAAATAATATTATACGCAAATTAAAAAAATTTCCTTATTTTTTAATTATACATTTTCCATCAATACACTATTCAAAAATACATTTTTATGAAAAGAATGAGGCTCAAACAAGGGCTTAATTCAAATTTTGGGACTCACCATACTTATTCACTAATAAACTAATGTGTCAAGTTTTTGATGCTACTATATATATCGAGCGTCAATTATCCTCTATTCACATCACGACACATGCATAAGAATTACTTCAAATGAGTAGCATTATTCTACTTCAAAAGGCGAAAGAAGTGGCGTAATTACTAATACTTCATTCTCACGATGAAGAAATTAGCTTATTCATTTACTTTTTGATACATAGAAAATGCCCGAATACAAATATTAATTCTATATCTTGCATAGCTTGGTACAACTCTCAAAGCAATTGTCCTTGTTTGCACCGCCTGCAATTTAAGAAAACACGATTCCAAGAAGCATATTAGGAAGCTAAAAGAAAAAACTCTAGATGTAAAAGAAGAAAAAGTAACTTTTAAGTTTATCCAGGCATATTTAAAAAAAATAAAAAAAATCTAAAAAACTTAAATCCGTTTGACTTAAAAAAAAATACTATTTTTTTAGGTTATTGTCAAGTGACATTATACAATATGATAGTTAGAACGATTTACGAAGTGATCTATAGATTTTCCATCTATACAAAATCCCGAAATATTGTGTATTACGTACCAGTAGGAGGGACGCAGATTTGCAGTGAACATCCAACAGCACAAAAACGCTCATAATCAGCAGTAGTACGAGGCATACAAGTATTCACACATTTCAAATAACATGGATACCTCTGTGAACCAGATGTTCCATTTCCCAGAAAACACTCATTATAGCATCCTCCCCAACAAGCATAAATACTCTGTCCATTCACACCAATTGCTACTACTACTACAACCACCACCATCACCGCCATCACCCTCACCAGAGTTCTAGCGCAGCTATTGTTCCTCCCCATTTAAACCTAACTCTTCTTCACCTTAGAAAAGTCGGTGTACCTGCCAATAATATTTATGTGCTTGCATGGGGAGAGGGATGGGTTAAATAAGAAAGAAAGAGACAAATGTATTTAATTTTATTGCTCATTCATTCATTGCATTTATAATGTGGATAGTTTTTCAAACTCGCCCAATTAATATATAAATTCTTTAATAGGTGAGAACAAAAAAATTAAGGAAAAGAATATTACACCCCCATTTAGCCCCGTCACATTATATTTCATTTTTTTCTCTTATATTTTCAACCATACCATCTTCCATAAAATAATATTATACGTAAATCAAAAAATTTTCATTCTTTTTCAACCACTCATTTTTCAGAAAAAAACGCTATTTCACCTATTTTCATTTCAATAAATGGGGGCCAAACAGGAGCTACGTACTCCATACGTCCCATTTATATGACAGACTGTCTTTATTTTCTTATCCCAATTATATAGGAATGTTTATTTAATGAGAACGTTTTATTTTGTTTGTTTAATAATATACCCTTATTTAATTATAAGCAATTTTCCTCACTTAATCTTGAAATTGTAGAAATATAAATAAGGATAAACTAGAAAAAAATTTGGCAAAAAAATTACTTTTCCAAAAACATTAAATAAAATTTCTTAATCCGTGTGAAAAATGAAACCAACTATATAAATGGAACAAAGGGAATATTATGATAGCTAACAGAATCAAAGACATTTTCATTCAACAAAGATTAAAGTGCACTAGAAGAAACAACTTTAAATTTCAAAATTTAAAAACCCCTAAAAAAAGAACTATGAATTAATTAGACTGGTCCCCTGTTTGATGGAAATTAAAATCTAGATTTTTGTATAAATCAAAGTCAACAATTAATTTTAACCACATGTTTTATGGTGTCCACAATCTTTCAATCACATATTTCATCAACTTTTATTAAAATCTCCTCAAAATCTCATTTTAATCCCACCAAACATATGCTAGACATTGGTCCAAGATCATAAGTGCTGGTGTATTTTAATATTAAAATTCATTCATTTTTCTAATAGGTTTGTAGTTGGGGAGTTAGGAAAGTCATGAAGAGGAAGTTAGAAAAATAAAAGGTGAAAAAGGCTAATGTGTTTATGACGTCTCTTTATTTTGGGTGGCTTATTTTTGTCTACTAGTAGCAAACACGTGCATTGCACTCTTAGGCATGAAATGAATGACAGATGTAATATTTTTAAAGTAAGATAATTAATAATTTTAAATAAAAAATTAAAATTGTTAAAGAGTATATATGTGAATAAAATTTTTATGAAATTACATTATAATATGGAAATGTTGAATAAATTGGAATGTAATGTTTTGTTTACTTATTTGCTTATGCTAGACATTGGTTGGACCCATATTTTTAATCATTATAGCGACATCTACCATCTTTAAAGTATAAATGGGCATGAAGAAAAATTGAATTAAAAGATGTACACTTGGCTAAGTTTAAATTGTTTACTTATAAGTAAACTAAATGTATATTAATGATTTTCAATATAAAAAATTACTCGTTTTGTTTGTAACATAATCTTTTTTACATTGAAAAATAAAAACAAAAAAAATCTTATCTAAACACTTTTAGAAACAAAAATTCACGTACTAATCATGCTTGTTATATTAAACCATAGCATTTATTTTAATTTAAAAACCAAAGTTACAATCAAATTAGATTTAGAAGTGAAAAACCTTAAAACAAAAGTTTTCTTTTTCTTTTGAATGGAATTAATACAAATGGAGGAATAAAAATTCTCCCTTTAAATGTATCAAGATAAAAAAAAAAAAAAAATTCTTTTCATATCTAACAAGTAATTGAATTATCATCATTTTTTATGCTTGCACAAAAAAGAACATGCAATAATAATAAAATATCCAATACTATATTAATTATTTTTCATAACACCTAATGTTAATTTTTATTAATACTTAAAAAATTGATATTAGTGAAAAAGGTGTAATTGAGATGCAAAACTTGTATTTAGTGGGACGGATACGAATATGGAAAGGGTAAGTAATTCCTAATTACTAGGAGTGATTAGTTAGATTTTTAAAATTAATAGATAATTGCTTTCAAGTTTGAATCTTTCCCTCATAATTGTTGATCAAATTTAAGCAATTTTTTTATTCTCAATTTATTGTCATTGTATTTAAGTAGTTATATTAATTAAACGTGCAATTTATAATCCTTGAAATAAAATGTTGACAATGTTATATAAGGACAAAATGGTAAATTAAACGTTTCTCATCTATCTTCACATCATATTTTTATATATATTGTAATTATAATATAATTATAAAAGTAGATGAATGTTGATTTTAAGTAAAGCTTGTGTATATAAATAATAAATGATATAATGTATAAACATATACATATGAAATAATATTATAATATATAAAATGTGGCATTAATGATAGGTTAATTACAATTTAATTTAATGTAGTTTGCTTTTAAATATAGAGTTCATTTTTCATAATGGAGTACTCATAATTTTCTATTAATTAAATTAAGTTTAATCACTTAAAATTAAAGCTCGTGTACATGTATAATTATACTAGAAATAAGTACGTATGTTGCACATCTTATGTATGCGTCATGTTTTTGAAGTATTAATATTGTTTTTGAAAGTAATTGAGGTAATTGAGATTGTTAAAAGGAAAATTAAAATTTTTAAAAAAGAATACAGTATACATGAATTAATTTTTTTATTTTTTTATGAAATTATCTATATAATGTTAAGAAGAAAAATAATCTGAAATGTAATGTTGTGATTACAATAACACTTTTTCATACACAATATTTTTTTGTCTTTACTTCTTTTTATTTTCTACTTTTATCAGGACTTTTATTGTTTGTATTGAAATTTCGAGAGAAGGTGAAATATATAGTTGCCATGAGAGAATACATGTTCAAGAATGTATATTCGAATGGTAGGCATTATTTGTCATTGAGCCTTGTAAATGGTCGCTGCAAAGCATAGAGATCATGAAAATTGTTTCCTCTTTAGTTTAAATAGATATCCTTCATTATTTGTTGGAGTTAATGGGATATGTAGAAGAAAAGCTCAATTTCCAACATATTGTCCAACAGTTATTTCTGTATAGTAATATGCTTATTGAAATTATGATAAATCGATTTTTTCCATTGCAAAGACCATTAGATGGGTTTGGATTCCTTAAGAGCATCATTGGACAATGTCGTTTCAAGATTAGCTTATGTAATGGGATGCTATTTGACAACAATACATTTAGAAACTCCTATTGGTAAAATTGGTTTGTATTGTCTATTGCTTTATCAAAGTTGACAAATTCTTCACTTTCTCGAGAAAATAACACAATTAGTTTGTCATTGAGAAAGCCAACAAATTCATTTTGATTGAAAGAATTTCACATTGTGTCACATAATCAAAAGAAGTTGCATTTCTAAGTTTCAGCATCATCACGTGTTGTAACTATCTCATTTGGTAAGTTGATAAAATCGTCCTCTATATAAGGTTCTATTCCATTATCAATTTAGATAAAGGATTGGGCAAATCGATTGTCATTTTTAGCACACATATTTTTGTTTAGCCCTGTTTAGGCTCCATTGGTCTTTTTTTTTTTTGAAAAATATATTTTGAGATAAGAATTTTTAGAGAATGTCTGGTTAGAAAATAGGATTTTTTTTTTTAATTTACCCATATCATTATTTTATAGGATAATATGATTGAAAATAAGTTTCGAAAAAATATATTTTTAGGAAAAATGGAGCTTAAATAAGGGTTTAATTGCAGCTATTTCAATTTCTCTTAAAGATACTCTCTAACCAAACTTTGTTTAATTATTTGTTTTCCTGTTGCTCTTAAAACTACCAATAGCACTTGACGAAATTCTCCTACGAATACAAAAATATTTCCATCAAATGATTCTGAACCATCCAAAATATCTCTTAAAGTTATATCAATTGTTTTTATTGTATTTGTATTGGTCATGGGAGCTTCAAACCATATTATAAGTTTTATATTGTTGATTCATTAGTCCAAGTGGAATATTGAATGGGTAATTCTACCTCTTGGCATTATTTATGTTTCTATACCTGAAGTTGATGTCGCAAGCGTTATCATCTTCTGAGATTGAACCCTTGCTAGTAAAGCACGACATAGAAAGGTGTTTTCTGTATCACCAGGTCCATCAATTAAAAAAAAAAATAGACTCCATTTTCATTGTTCATTCTTTTGAGCATGTTCTTGTTCTAAAATTAGATGTAATGTTGTTTGAATATCAACATTTGGAACTTTAGTTCATCTAAAATTTCTTTTGCATTGGGTTCATTATGAAATGTATCAATAAGTTGAGGCATGTCATATGCATTAATAGTCTTTCCCATATATTGTAGGGAAAGTCGTAAATCTCGCAAAGCACATTACATGTAATATTCTAATGATTTTTTGACACTTCTTCTATCAGGATTGAGTATGAAATCAATGGGGACATGAATTAATTAATATATAGATCTATTCTCCTTCCTTTTCTTAATGTTAAATATCATATATATAGTTTTTTCAAAAGGCAAACAAAAGAGTTAAATACATAACATATATGAAGGGAGAAATGGGATTAAAAAAGAAGAAAATGAATCAAAAAATAGTTAAAAACATAATTTAATGGGCAAAATGGGATTAAAACATAAAAAAAAAGAATGAAAAAGCCGATGTATCTTTCATAACATTACCCTTTAATCCCACCACTACTCCCAAACACCAACTGTATTGACAAATACTAGGAAGAAAAGGCCAAGCCATAAGTAGTCAGTTCACTAAAAAACCTTTAGGAAAATCTTTATATTGTGAGAAAATCAAGAAATTATATAGTAATATTTGTTGTAGGCTTGTAGCAATGTTTGCAAGTCACTTTTGTTGGCAAAGTAATTAATGTAAAAAAGTGATCCACACCAAAAATTTGAACAAATGCACTAAAATATTTTAATTTACTCATAGAACCAGCCATCCTTATGCTTGATGAATATTTG